CTAAGGCTATATGTTAGAGGTAGTCTTAAGCTTTTGCAAAAATCTCATTTTGTTTTTGCTTGGAAGAATACATGAATGTTCCATACTAAAACTGGAGTCTTTGTTTCCATGACCTTGTGAAGACGGATGAGAAATTCAAAAACGAAAACGTTCAATTGTATCTCGGAACGATACTTTGAGATACTAGTAGGAAAACTACAGCTTAATCGGTTGTGTCGTCTTCGAGAACCAGAAACGATTAAATAAGAGAAGAAACTATCCTTAAATCATAGATAATTTAGTAACAGATTGCATTTTATATTAAAATATTCTTCAATCTTAACTTTCCAGAAATATAGAAAAAAAAACCAAAGTTAATAATTGCTAAATTTCTACAACATAAACTCTGAGATTTTCAACATTTGATTTTTGAAATAAATAGAAAACTTACAAGGATCTGTATCTTTTTTATTTAATGAATATGCCGGATAACAATCAGCTATTTCATCTGAATATGATTTTGGTATATTACATTTTTCAGCTTTAACACGAACTTGTCTCATTCGAATAACACCAATCATTAGAAAATGATCAAGTATCCAACGAATAGAACGTTGAGAAGTAACGGCTGGATTTGATTGCCATACATGAGAACGATAAAAAACATTTCCAATTGTTTCATTCATAAATTGCCATATCTAAAATATATTTAAAATTTTCATTTGGTTATTTTCAAAATGAATTCTATACATCGTCAAATGTAGCAATTTGATTAAAATCAATCATAAATGCATCTCCATATTTATTTTGTGCATTTTTATAGGGATTATATCGAATATTTCGTTCAAGCCAAGCAGATTTCACTGGAAATCGTGCATCAATTAAATGATATTCAAATGTGTTTGTAATAAAAAAATCATATTTTGATTGAGATAAAAAAGCAACAATTAATATATTACCAACAAAAATCATATAAATTAAAAATGCACGTAATACTAATTTAGCATGTTGTTGTGAATTATCATCTGTTTCTTTTCGATCGATATTAAATGATAAAAAAAATTGAATAATTTTATGAAATTTAGATTGTTTTGGTTTGTGAATTGTTTGAGGAGCCAATGAAGATTTCGATGAAAATGAATCAACCGATCGAATATTTGTCGTAGAGGACATGATAATTGATAACGATGATGATGATACTCAAGTGTCCACATTTCAAGAATACGATTCAAGTATTTCGTGGCTTCTATATAATTATCACATACAATTCCAAATAGGGCGCATTCTTTGTTTTTTTTTTTTATTTATCTCAAAAATGTCGAGTCATCAATACAATCATTAATTAATATGTGACTCACTATTTGCCATACTCTTTAGCGAACAGTTGTTATATGTTACTGACAAAGTGTCGTTTTTAAAAAATAGTCGTCCATACTTTGTGTACTTTTTTTGCTATAATGTAATCCGTACTATGTATTGCGATGTTCTAGAGAACGAATTGTCACTAGAAACTCGTTCGAACTTTATCAGAGAAATGCATATCTCGAGATGATACAAAAGTTTTAAAGTCTTCAATAAGCTCCGCAAAACAGTAATTTTTACGACTTGGTCTCCATCTTTTATCTGAAATAATTAAAAGTGGTATTCTAATTTTCAGTCAACTGTTATAAGTAGAAGAAACAATGAAAACTTTCAATAGAACAAGATTGACTTTAGGTTTTGCAAATTTTCTAATTTTTTGCTTATCAGACATACAGATCGAAAGTTATTATTTTCTGTTGCCATGATCTTGAGATTGGGGAGTCAGAAACTATGCAGATAGACAATCTTATATTGGTTTTTTCACACATAGAAGATAATACATTTGTAGGAAATTCTTATATTTGAAATCCAAGTCGATTATATCTCTTCAGTTCTATACCTTTTTTTACGCTAGATATAATAGTAGTTAAAAAGCTTACTATAGTTCTAGCAACAGAGCGGATATGTATCTCACCAAACAAGCATGTATCAGATGAAACTTAGCATAGAGTATTGTTCTAAATTTCATCCACTATCTACATAGGACTATGGTAAGTTTTTTACTTCTGATATTCATAGTGTAATAAAGGTATATAATTTGTTTTGTTTTTAAATATAAAAGTTTCTCACGGAACAAGATTTCCTACAAATCCACACTGTTAAAACAACTTTTATCATCTTCAATGTGTAAATAAGACAGTATAAGAACGTGTATCTATGATTGGTGTATAGATAGGAGACAAGTAAAAGAATTTTTCAACATGAAAATCTTATTCAAATTGAATGTGTGACTCAATTTGTATTGCTCTGGATAATGATATATTGAAGAATAAAATGAAGTAAATATTACAGTTTTGAAAATAAACAATAGGATACTTTTTGAAACAATGAAAAACGATATGCTATGATTGTATCCTCAATAAAAACTAAATAGATCAATGTATTGATATAAAATTCTAGTTTTTAAATATTTCTCCGAATTCATGTAAAACTGTCTTGAAATTATTTATACGAAAATCAATAATATCAAGTCAGCAATATAAGCTAATTTCTCATATTTCTTCATTATAGAGTATTTATAATTTAACTAGAATATATAAAATGATTGATGAGAATTTCTTGTGCTTATTAATGTGATATAGAAAAAAAAAAGCAGATTCATTTATCAGAAGTAGATGTAATACATATCTGTCAAGGTACTTGATCTACAGGTTGTCTTATAATAATGATTAACTATCTTTTTTTTTTTTCATATCTTAAAAATCAAGGACAAACGTATGAGTAATTTTATCAAGATATTCGTAGTTGCTTAGATTTTTCCTTTACATCGTTTTTTAATTATTTTCACAAGAACTTGTCTTCTCGTTTATCAATCGACGACATGAACTTTTTTTTTTTTTTAATTACTACCATGTATAAATATAATGATACGATACGAGCAAATATTTGAGAGACTTCACATTCGATTACATATTCAATTATAGTCATAATTAGTATGAAAATATTTATGAAATATTAACTTGTGTTTTTATTTTCTAGACAAACATTAACATTCAAAAATAAACATACATGTAAAAAAAGACGTGAAACATTCTTCAGATAGTACAAAAAAAAGGCCAAGAAAACAAGTTGAAGATTATTTAAATGTTTTACAAAAAGATATCTACGAAACTTGATTATGTAAAGAATCGCATATCTAAATCGATATTGAAGTTCATTTATAATAGGAATTTATTTTGCTATGTTTGAAGCATGATCATTACGTAGATGCATTAAATAATCATTACTTGAATTAAAACGTTTTTGACAAAATCGACATTCAGTTATATTTAAATGATCAGCAGCAACTTTAGCTAAACGACGTTGTCGTTCATCATCCGATACATTTGATCGAAGAGAATTATTTCCACATGACATACATTCAAATACAAGACCTTTTTGTTTCGGAAATTCATGCTGTGTTATATCAATTAATTGTGTTGTACCACAACGTGTACATGTTGGTTTTGTTACTTGTTTATCAATTATGTCTGTTTGTTTAGATGATGTATCTGAACATTTATCTGTTTTTTGTTGATTTGATAAAAAAAGAGATGATTGAAAATCATTTGTATTCATTTAAATAAATCGATAAGATTTTCTTAGTGATTGAAAATAAATAAATAAAAGTAAATCCTTTTTTTAAACAAAATCATCATTTGTTATAATCTTCCAATCAAACTTAATTAATCATCAATGAAACAATTAAAGAGATGTCGCATCTATATGTTCAATAAAAAAGTTTATTTCTGTAAAAATTTAACAACACTATTTTATTCTGATGAAGTTTGCAATCCGTAAAATAAAATTGAGTTTATGACCAATTGAACAAAAGATTCTGTATATACAATAAGATCTTCTACTTTTTCGTATATTTGTCATAGCAACAAAAGAGAATACATATAAAATTCTTACCGGAAAAGTAAATAAATTATTTGAACATATTTAAATAAGATAATAAAAATTTGATCTCGTTGAATAGATCAGTATTGTCTTTGATTTTATTAAAATACGTCATAGCTGATCACATTTTTGTTTTCGTTCTTTTTTTACTCTATGAACTAGAATATGATAACAATCATTTTATACAATCAAAATCAAATTTTCTTTTTAATAATTATTGTGAAAAGATATCGATCATAACTATTTATTGATTGTCTAATCTGTAATATAAACATCTAAACCGGCGAAGGCTTTTTTTTTCTCGATAATATCTTAAAACGACAACTGCTCGTTTGAAAAATGTCATGGACATGAACTGGATTAAAATCGTTTCTATTCATGTCATATGTCATTAATATGCTGTAATATGTAATTGAATAAGTATGTGTGATATAAAGATATATCAAAATACGTGAAAAATTATTCATATTAACCGTTCTCTTCATATTAGAAGATTTGTGCAATTTCATAATATCATTTATCAAATGTAAAATATTTAGCCACTTTGAATTTTAGCAATATATATATATCAGAATTCTGTCGAATTTTTCAACAATCAAAATATTGTCAAAGTTTCGACAGAAAATTGAACAAAAGTTAATCGAAATAATAGAATTTCACAGGTATTTTTGCTGCATTCCACTGAAGCTGCTCATCGATAAACCAAAAATTCGACTAAAATTCCACATAATCTTGGAAGATTTTCTCATATAAAGGAACAGTTAATGTAATATATTATAATTTGCCTGAAGTTTTCGATTTCATGCAAATCTTATGTTGTAAATTAATTAATTTAAAAAAATCATCAATAGATGTGTTATCTGAATTTCTTATGGATATCTCATTAAGAAATTTAATTTTTTTTTTTTTAATCAAACGAAAATTAACACAAATAAATTTATTATTATAAAGTAAAAATACAATTTTAATTGAAAATTTAAAAAAGAAAAAGACAAATTTAAATTGTATCATTTGTTTTTTTTTTCGTTGCCTAATTTAAAGTTTATCAACTATGAAATTTAAGATTGCACATCGAATAACAATCTTACTTGTGATTGTAAATTAGACGAATCAAAATGTTCTTCAGGTGTTTGAGAAGAATAATACTGTTGTTGGGCTTGTAGTTGATGTTGTTGTTGTTGTTGTTGCTGTTGTTGCTGTATAGAAAAATTATTAATTTGAAAATCTGGTGGTGTTGATACAGATGATGTTACTTGATTTTCTTGCCAAATTGATGATGAATGAGGATTAAGAAAATGTTCATAAACATCAACATTACCAGTGACTAATCGAGAATTTGTTATTGATGAATTAATTAATTTATCAGTTGTTAATAATGAATATCTTTGATTATCAATTGTTAATGGTGGTGGTGGTGTTGATGAACAAAATTGATCAGTTCCTTTTGATGGAAAACCATCAGTACTTAAATCAAAATCAAAATGATGATTGGAATTAATTCGTTGTTCATCAATAGAAACAAGTTGAAATTCATCTAGAATAGCATCAACATTCTCAATACATTGCGTTTGCCATGAATCATTCTTATCAAACGATAATAAATCTTGATTTGAATTTAATATAGGAGTATTAGTTCTAGTTGTTACGGATCCTAATGAGGATGATGTTGGAATATTTGACCATGATATTGGCTTATTAATTAAATTAAGTGTAGGTGTTATAGGTGAGTTAGCCGTTGATTTTTCTGTAGTTTCATGTTCGGAAGATGCAGTACCTGTTGAATGTGGTCTATCAAGAATACCTTTACGATTACGATTACGTTTTGGAGTTATATTATTTGTCGATTTCAATCGATTTCGTTTTTTACTATTATTCGTTATTGTAGGTTGTAATTCTGTATGAATTTGATTTTGTTCTGTAGTCGTTGGAAAAACTACTTGTTGCGCAATATTCACAACATCTTGATGAGTTAAAGCCGATCCAATTGAATCATACGTTGATTGCTGTTGTTGTTGCTGTTGTTGTTGTTGTTGTTGTTGCTGTTGTTGTTTTTGATAAAGTGGTGATAACCACGTTTTTGTTGTTACTGTTCCATTTTGTACCCAAACAAGTTGAGATGATGGTAATTGTTGCCGTTTTGTTTGTATAAATGCTGAATCATCAATTCTTATATCTCCTTTACCATTAATAACATCATCTATTGTTTGATCGATTTCTGAATTGCTTACTGTTGTTTGAATAGAAAATGGTGAAACTAATTTTACTGGTGAATTTGATGCTGATATATTTTCTTCTTTAATCATATATGTCGACTGTTCTTGTTTGGAATCATCTAATGAATAAATTTATTTTGAAAAATAAAATAACATAAAAGAAAAGAAAAAGAAAAGTCTCATACTTAAATTAAATTGATTATAAAATGATGATTGATCTTGATTTGCTCCATTTGGTAAACTAATTTGTTTAATAAGACGTCTTTTTTTTTGACGAGAATTTGTTGAACCAATACTACGTTGTCGCATAATTGGTTTTTTTATTGTTGGAAAACTTAATAATAATAATAATAATAATTGAAAAAAAAAAACAAAAAAAAAAAAAAAACAAAATGATTTTTCATTTTTCTATTTTCAAATATTTTTACTTTGATTGTTGTTGAGAAACAATTGTTGCTATATTTGGTGATGAATCGGATGTTTTTGGATTTGAAATTGAAAATTGTAATAATGTTGTTGATGATGTTTGTCCTTGATCTTTTGTAGGGGCCATTGAAATAGCACGATTCGTACGAATTTGTGAAGCAACAGCAGCTCGTTGAGCTATTGTACGATTAATTGGTGGTCGACAAACAATTGTTTGAGAATTTAAATTAGCATTTGATTGTTGTTTCATTAATGTTAATGCAGGACAATTATGTTCATGAGCAATATGCGGTTTTAAGCAAGTGCAAGTAATAGCCTTGAATGTCGAGGACGTTGATGACGTTGACAATGGATATGGAGCAATACCTGGAGACTGTTGTAAATCGATCACATGAGTCATTGCTTGTTTTGTTGGAATAGAAGTTGATGATGTTGGACTATAGAAAAGTTTACAAAAAACACATTCATTTTTCCGATAGGTATTGCAATTTAATTTTTCCAATCCCAAGTAGAAGAATGATTCTTATTTGAGGAAAAAAAAACCAAGTTAATTAGAAGATTTTTATCATTGTAGAGGTCTACTTTTCGTTTAATTAACAGATGAAACATGAAGATTAAATCTACCCTTTATGTTTTATTTTTTACATACGTGAAAAAAAAATACTTATTAGTAATAGTCTTATATCAAAATAAAAATATTATAGTGATCAAAACAAGGTGCAGACCTTGTAATGAGAAATATTCTAATCATAAAAAGTAAATGATTTTCTTCTAAATTAAAAGATTTCTGAATATGTTTTGTTTAATCAGTATTTATTTTAAAGATAAATTATTAATATGTACCTAATAGTTTTTGATATTGGTGACATTTGTATATTTGATTGAGTATCAATATTAGACGATGGTGTTTGAATGACATGTTGGGATGATAAATATTGTTGATTTGTTGATGAGCATGTTGATGGTGAATTAGGTGTTTGTTGACGTCGATAAACTGGTGATAATTGTGTTTGAACTTCATTTTTAATTTGTTGAATTGGTGTATGAGATATTGATGATAATGGTGGTGGTTGTATACCATTAAATACTACTGTAGTTGTTGTTGATGATACATCATTATGATCGCCTGTTGTAAGTGTTCCTGTTGTCGTTGGTGGCTCATTATTAATAACTGATGAATGATGATTATATTGTTGTGGATATGTGGATCCAAAATTTTGTTGTTGTTGCTGTTGCTGTTGTTGTTGCTGCTGCTGCTGCTGTTGTTGTTGTTGATGATTGATAGAATTGACAAATACTGATGATTGATTTTGTTGACTATATGACATTGATGGTTCAATTTTACATGTTTTTGCAGATGTTTCTAAATATTTAAAATTATATGTTAAATAAAAAAAAAAGAATTTTTTGTTTTATTTTTTTTCTTTTTACTTTTATCAAAAATATGTATGATAAGATTTGGATTATCATTAATATTATTAGGCCATTCTAAGCTTAAATATATTGTAACAAGATTATGTTCGATAACAGATTGTCCATTATTTTTTAATGGAACCTTGTATGAATGAAACGGTTCGCTAACATTAAAAAGAAAATATTATTAGTTCAAATGGAAAGGAAAAAAAAAAAACATAAAGCATTTTTTTTTTCTCTATACATACCAACTAACCATTGTGGTAATACTAACGAAATAATAGAGAATAGAAATAACCAATTGATAATGTATAATAAACCATCAAACAATAATGATTGATCGACAATCAGATACCTATATAAATCAAACTATTGTTCGACATGTGAATTGCGGATAATACAATGATTAAACAAGTTTATTCTCTTTTTTTCTCCGCTCATTTTTTGCTTCTGTTCATTGTATTAGCACGCTTCGCCTATCTTTTACCTGAATCGATGGTCGTGTTGAATGTGTGTATATGTATGTGTGTATACTAATGATAATGATGCTCTCCTGTATTCTCACTTAACTACTTGTTTCTTTTCGTTATTGGATGGTGACAGCGTATGTATATATCATGTAGAACAGAAGAACGACGAAGGCGATGATGGTGGGAAGAAGATACAAGGCCGTCATAAAATCAATCAAGAGAATCAAAGAAAACGATACAACAATGCCTTTCGTTAGCATTCAAATGCATATATATATATGTACATATATATTTATAAAAATTACAGTTAATAAAGAAGCGAAACAACATTATTATTGAACAATAAAAATATGCAAAATCGAAAAAAAAATTAATTACTGATAGATCAATTGTCAATTTCTTACATTAATAATTACAACTTCATCATATTTAGTGTAATTCAATGTATGGCATATATGACATAATTTTCCAGTTTTTACGGTGCAAAATATCTACATAATGATTAGTTGAGAGTTGTTTTTCTCTTTTTCTTTTTTTTTCTTTTTTTCTTGTTTTCTTTCAAGATGCGGACATCAAAAATTTGTCATCATGCGTCGCAATGATCTGGAGAAAGCAACATCAGAAAATAATCGTTCGAACGGGCGATAGATATATCAAGGTCGAGTCGACATTATTCATTCTCTAATATTTAGAAGGAATTTTTGTTTATTTATAGACAACCAAAAACAAATGCTACTTTTTCTGAACTTACTGTTTTTTTTTCAAGACTCGAGTTAATTTTAAAAAAAAAAAGGAAAACAACTTGAAAAAAAAATTTAGGTGTCATTTTTTTTTAAATTTTAAGATAATGAAAAGGCAAGTAGTCACAGATTTCAGATGTAAGAATATCTGATTCTAGATCTTGACTAACGACGATGATTACATGAGTAATGCTCTATATGTTCGTGTCAAGAGAGATTTGATAAATAATCTCAGGGGTCTCATAATAAGTCTGATTGATGCTTCTGTCTTGAAAAAAATCTTTTGCTTTCTATAATACAATCTAAAATAGAACTTTTTTTTTTCCAAAATTCGACAATCAGAAAATATGTTCCAATTCAATCTAACATAAAATTATTTGATATATGTAAATTATTCCAAATCATACTCTCTGCTTCGTGTTCTCATTTTCTGACCATATACGTATCAAAAGTTCGAAATTTTCTGTTTCAATCATCTCAAGAACAGAAACTAATGTTTTTCATTTCATCGAACGATAATTAGTTGATCTACAAATAAATCCTCAAAAAGAAAATGTTTTTTTGAACTTTATTTTAATCGAGATAATTCGAAGGATAATGACAACAAGAAAAATTAATCGTCATTGTCTTTGAACAATTGATTTATATGTGATAGCTACCAATACAGTTGATGATAGATAAGGAACTAAAAGAAAATCAATTGATAGTAGTATGCCTCAGTAACATGTTGATATATATTAATAGATTTTTCTTAGTAATCAATTTTATTATAGCTACTTTTCATCGTCATTCTGATTGATCGAAACATAACTGTTTGGATTGCTGGAAGAGAAAAACAAACACTTCATTGCAGGAACACTGTAAATATCTTTTAGAAAAAATCTTGAAAACAATTATTTGTTTTTTTTTTTTTTTTCTTTGAAATATTTCTATTTTACTGATAATCAACATTCGAAAATTTACATTATATTTAGCATTCAGGTGAAACTCGAATGCCATCTATTTTTCAATATAATCATCATGTACTAATATTATTCAATTATTATGCATAATTTAAAAATAAATAGAATTTGCTTATTAAAGAAAAAAACAGTCAACTTGAATAAATTAAAAAATTTCTAACATAGCTTTTTTTTTTTTTTTTTATTCAAAAAGCAAATCATTTTCATTCACATCTATTCAGAGGTAAATTTCTCCGTTCTTATTTACATGAATAAGTCATCATCCTTGGGTCATATTATAAAATAGAGCAGTAAATGTTTTTCGAAAAGTCTAATATATTTATTCAAAACAAACTAACTTGTTTTTCTTGTTATTTCAATGATGATTGGCGAATATGAAAGAATACATTTATACGAAGGTTAGCAAAGTAAAATAGCGACGTCTACTATGTGGAGTCGTTTTCTAGATAAAAAAACCGTTTTGTAAACAGACACTTATCGATAATTTTAGACTAAAAATAATCTAAATAATCATTACCGTAGTCGATGATACGGATCATTAAACATTGTATTTGTGAAAAAAAGTATAGTTACTGCGTCATTTCTTTTTCATGACTGATGATTCATTTCATTCGAAATTATTGATCTTTCTTTAAAAAACAAACAATTTCATAAATATTTACTGATAAAAATATATTTTAATATAGATCGTTTCTTGTTTTCATTACATACTTATGCTATCAGTTACAGTATGTGAGAAAAATTTTTATTAATAAATTTTTAGGAAAATAATCTTTAGATTTATATCCGATTAACTATGATATTTACTTAATTCTATTTATTTTTATTATTATATCAACATAATTCTAATGTGAAACCTTAAAAAATTAAATATCAAAATTAAAAAAAAAATTCGTTTTGAATTTTAACTTAAGTATTAAAAAAAAGTTTTTCTTTTTTGGAAATAATCATTGATCATGTTTGTTTTTTTAATTCATATACATATTATAAACTATTATCAGAAATTACTCGAAATAGTTGATATAAAAGGATTTCCGAGAACAAAAAAAAAAAAACAAAGTGAAAATCTACCGAAAATCAAAGTGTTATACTGTTGACGGTGTTTGTTTTTTCACCTTTCAATTAGATTAACTCGACTTGATAATCGATTCAATATTTATTATTATGATAGTACATTTGTTAATGGGAGAGATCAATCTTCATTATAAAATGTCATTGAAAGAATGTTGCTATTTCAGAGATAGATAAATTTTCGCAAAGTCCTTGCTAAAAGTTTAATAATAAGATATTACTTTAGTCATTATTTTACGGTTCAGATCTGTTCAATGTGGTAATATGTAGGCTTTAATCGCAGATCAATATCAATTTATGGTGTGCTCACGTGATTCCTTGAAAAATAGTAAATGAATATTATCTGTTGAACAGTTGATGAAATCTACTTAATGTTATATTCAATAGATTGAATATATATTATCGGTACTTTTAAACATTACAAAGAAGAAAAAAAAAGTAGTTTTATGTATGAAAAAAATTCAATCACATACAAATTTTAGTTTCTATTACGATATTTTGGTTGTTATAAAAAAGAAAATGGTATTTAAATAACTTTTATTCTAACAATGATGAACAGCGGTCATATATTTTGAAACTAGAAAGATATTCATGTTTTGTTTTTCTTCTTTTTTCGAACAACATTATATAACTATCTGCCTTAAATAAACGCATTTATTCATGAAATTCCATTCATATATTGATGTATCACTCCAATGACTAATGATAATTAACACTAAAAAAAACACAAGAGGTTATTTCTTAATATTAAATCCGTTGAATTTATAATGTAAATCATGAAATCTAATTCCATTACATTTTACGTTCTTGAAAAACAAACTATAAATGTAAACACTACGCACATATAATAATATTAAATACTAAATAATTTTTATTGTGAATACATATACATATATGAGAAATCCTTGATATCTTCTATTTACGCACTTGACTTCGATGAAAAAAATTTCTTGTATTAAAAAAGAACACATACTCGATTGTTATTATAGTTTGATGCTGCTTTCGGATGTCTACATAAGAAGTAAAAAAATAAATAACATAAAATTTTTCGATTTATTTAAAACTGATTAAGCAAAGTAAATACCCTTTATGAGTATAAATATTTAATGTTAATGTTGCATTATGGGAATGTTCTGTTTTTTGCTGAAAGAAAGAAAAAAACATGTGGATTTTTTAAATCGTATATCTAGATTATTGTCGCTACGTAATACAATTAAATAACGTTGATTGTTACGCTTACCGCACAATAATATAATTTATTTTTTAGCGACATTGATTTTTTTTCATTGGCTAAAAAATGAGTAAACGTTGTTACTATTCTTACATATTATTTTATTTCATCATTTCTTTAAAGAGATAATTTCCATGCGAGTATTTTTGTATCTTATTCTTTTATGTATAAAATATTGTGCCAGTTATGGTAAACAAGATAATGTAATTAGTAAAGAAGTATAAAGGATATACGTAATTGTTTTCTTTTCCTTTTTTTTTTCAAGATGTCTACCGATAAAATTGCTTTGGTCACTGGTTATACAGGCGAATCAGGAAAAGCACTTGTGAAAGAATTAATAAATAATAATCAATTTAAAAAAATTATTCTTGTTGGCCGTCGCAAAATTGATTATACTGATAATAAATATATAGAAAAAACGGTATTATATTAAAATGAATCTTCATGGGTTTGTCGATTGAAAATAAAAAAATTTTTTAATTTTTTAATTATAGAGTAAACCTTTCCAATTTACTTATAATAATCTCTGAAACAAATGTCAAAGAGAGTTTTTCATGCGGTTGTATTCTAGTGCATTACGACTAATCAAATTATGCCCGATTGACCTATTTTTTTTAAAATGTCCTAAGACTGAACATACATCAAACCCAGAGTGTTTGAGTTTAGATTATTTTCTTTTAGGGATGTACCAATTCTAGCTAAGTGTACTCAAGTCGAAGAATGGGTGTACCGTTGAGACGAAACAATATAAGCAGAGATGGGCCTTACCTTAAACTGATGGTTTTAAACTTTTTGGAAATCTCGTTTTATGGCTTTTTTAGAAGTAGTGAAAAAAGACGGGAAGTATCCTTAAAAAGATCAACATCTATTTTATCGTTCATATGTGATAGTTACAAATAATTTTACTGGAAGTAAAAAATATGCTTCAATATTCCATGTATAATCTTGGACATTTTCTCAGACTTTAATATAAATATTTTTTTATATGAAAGTGCTGAAGAAAAAATCCTATTGAAATGTGGTACATTATTTTTAAGACTTGTCTAAATTAATATATGCTTGCAGGAATCGTTAGGTATATACATAAAATAGAAAATTAAATTTCAATAATTCATTAGATATTAATCATTTTAATTTTTCATCAACAAGGACAATATTGTTGAAAAATACTATTCGATTATATTGTAGAGAAATAAATTTTCTATCGAATGACCATCGAGACAGATTTTAATTCTCGTATCAAAAGAGAATTCAAAACAATTTTTTTTTGTTTTTTAAAAGTAAAGAACTAATGAAAATATCAATCATAAATAAGCCCTAAAGCATTGCACAATTGAATTTTCATTACCAGAAATGTAAATGCAACTTACAAAATTCAATCTGATAGAATTAATAATGATGATACACATCAGTGTTTTATCTAATATGGCAGCTAAAGAAGCAGCATCCGCCCGGGGATTGAGTTGATGGGTATTTCAGCATGTAATATGGCTCTATGCATCCAAAAATAGATGTTAGTCTATCCGGATTTTTAAATTGCTTGTCCGGAAGGGAAAATCTGTATAAAACACTGAGTGTACATCTCGAATTATTTGGTAAAGTTTTTTAGAATTTAAAAAACAATTGTTTTCAGTGTTATTTATGCAGATTTTAGAGAATTGAAACGTATTCTATAGTAAAATTTCATATTCGTATTTATTGCATAGATTTCTCAGACTGATAGATAACAAGTTATATCTGCTCGATGGCATGAATATATATACTGAAATTAGGTTTTTAATTTCTTTTTTATTTAGGAACAACGCGAAATAGATTTCGATAAAATCGATGACTATGCTGAAGCATTTCGTGGTGCTGATGTACATTTTTGTTGTCTTGGTACTACAAGAAGTAAAGCTGGAGCTGTTAGTACGAAATTTAATATTTTAGTTATTTTCTTATTTTGATTTTATTGAAGGAAGGTTTTCGTCGAGTTGATTTTGATTACGTTGTTGGCGTAGCTCGTCTTGCTAAACAAGAAGAATGTAAACATTTTCATCTTGTATCCAGTCAAGGTGCAAATGAAAATTCATTTTTTCTCTATCCTCAAGTGAAAGTAAGTAGACGATAAAACTCTTCGAACTGATTTATAGTTTTTTAGTCAGAACTATGTATATCATGTAGACTAATGAATTATGAATACCCTAAAGAGTATTTCGACTCCAGAGCTTATTGCAATAGAGATACTGAATATTGGCGACATTTTCCTAACTCATTGCCGTGCCGAAAAATTCCTAGGATAAGGCAGAGATGAAACCAATAGATCGATCATTACCGATTTGCCGTATTTATTTTGTTTTTGCTTTTGTATTCTCATAGAGGATGTGTAATGAAACTTTGTTGAAAGTTTACTACGTCAAATATCACTATCCACAGATAGAATAGTGCGACACGATCGGTCGTGAACAATCCTAATCGGTTTCATTTCTGAGGTAGAATACGGCTTAGAAAAATTTTCTTAGTCAGAGTACAGTGTACGAAAAACGCTTACTCCATATTTCTCTAATAGCTGAATCGTAGGTTTTGGAATAATAAAAATATCTGAATCTTTCATGATAAATTACTTCTGTTGAGTCTTATCTAGGTGCAAAGTTTCAAATTTGTTTTTCTAGTATTTCTTATGTGGAATATGACATTGCGTTGTAAAATGCAATAATAAGCTGAGGATCTGAACTCTTGTCAGGGTATTCTCATCGTTCATTAGAATTTACGTAATGTTTACAGTTTTGACTGAAAATTTTTTAATAATTTTCTCAAGGGTCAAGCAGAAGCAGCTTTAACTAAGATGTCATTTGAACGTTTATCAATTTATCGACCAGCGTAAATTTTTTCTTTTAATTTTTGATATTGGAAATAAAATATTTCTTTTAGAGTATTAATGGTTGATCGTACTGAAAGTAGACCATTAGAAAGTTTGACACGAACAATACTTAGTTATACAATTCAACGTATAGCACCAGAATGGATAACAACACCAATTGATGTTCTAGCACGTGCAATGTGTTTTAATTCATTTACTAAAGATCGAGTCGGCGTTGAAATTCTTGATAATCATGCAATATTTCGTCTTTCTGAACAACAATCAAGTCCGAAAGCTGATCAATCAAAAGCTACAGATGAACTTTAATTTTAATTTTTTTTTTCATTGATTTTGCTTTTCTAAGATATGTGATATTTGATTTATAGAAAAAAAAACATGTCTTTTCTAGATAAATGGACGAAATTTATGAAAGTAAATTAATGCGTTATGTAAGAAAATGAATTTTATTTTTTGAGAAAATTGCTATCTATTTTGTTTTTGAAATAGAGACGTATTGAAAATAATATTAAAAATTTTGAAGAAAATGAAGCAAAAACAAATGAATCTATGGAAGCTATTCGTCGTAAATTGTATGATAATCATTTTCATTTATTAAATAAAATATTATGTTTTAAATTTTCTAGAAGATCTGATAATACAAGTATTGGCCCTGCAAATGATTTACGTAAGGAAAAGATTTTATTTAATAAAAAAAAAAAATCTTATTTATTTGAATTTTTAAAATTTAGTTCGTTTTCTCTATATTCTTGAACAACAATGTCAATCTGATGATAGTGAAACACAAGCAAAAGCTACAGAAGATGTTTTAGAATATATTAATCAATTTCGACAACCTGATGATGATGATGATGATGATGTTGAAGAAGAAGAAGAAGAAGAAGAAGAAGAAGAAGAAGAGGAAGTAGATGATGATGATCAACAACCAAATCAATCAAATGAGTCACAACAATCTGAATCAATAGCTCCTCATAATCCAGTAAGAATATTTTCATTTTTTGGCTTCGAAAATAGATTAAATATGTGAAGCTCCAAGGGGGCAGCTAAAATTTTGCAATGAAGAAAAAAGAAAAACGATGATAGAAAGCTTATTGAGTGGTACAATGGCGACTCAGCCGATCGGCTTACACATCTAATCATGATTAACGACATTTTCAGTAGAAATTATATTCCTTGATATTTAGAATATCATGCTTAACGATTTCATATAAACTCTTACTTTTTCTCACCGGTTTCACAAGAGACTCCGAGAAACTAATCATAGACATGTCCTGTTCGTATCTGCATTAGTTTAAAAGTACGGATAGATCGATCAGGTATCTGCTCTTTATTTTGATTAATTTAGTTACTTTCGGCATGATTAATTGCAAGCAATACAAAGAGTGACTCATTTGTTTTTCTATTTATCTAATCAAGATAATAATTGATACTACATATAAACCAGAGGTGTCAACAGGCTAAAACAAGCCAATCGATATATCATTCTAGTTTCAGTTGCTCACTTGATTTATTTCCATAAAGATAAGGTAATAATAAGTTCTTACACGAAATAGAAAATGAAAATTAAGAGATAATCATTATGAAATTCTTTTTTTAATAGAAGACAGACTTCAATTAACATTATGTTTTTTTTATCATATTAGCTGTGTTTCGTATAATTGAAAAAAAAATAATCCTGATAGTAAATACGACATACGATTAGACATAAAGAAAATGTAGAGAATAAGTGACACTTATAATAACAGACAAGAATATTTACATTTGATAATCAAGTTACACAACAGCACTAGTGCAATATTTACTATCCAATTGTTTTGAATCAAAATAAGTTCTTCTATCAATCAATATGAATTATCTGCAACACTACTTAGATGCTCTATTCAAGCATAAGAGCCTGGCCTAGCGATAGAGTCGCTCGAGTTGATCCGAGTTCAAAAGTTTTGCATTTAACGGGTGGTCTGGCATAAGCATTGTTTTTCATTATCTGACAGGAATGAGATAGTTGCCATGAAGAAGATCGTTTCATTTATAAGTTTATCGTCGACATGCAACGATCGCAGCTATTCTATTATGGTCTAGATCACATTTCGTTTGCAATTTTAAATAAGTCTTATTCAAGAACATTATTTTTCTTTTAGTCACTGCCTGTCGTTATACCTCCGTTATCAACAGTTGTACCTCCTTCAGTACAACCGGTATCATCTGTTAAACCTCAATCACCATCATTACCACAGCCACACCCCACACCCTCGGTGGATGATATTGGTGATATTAAAGCAGATACACTTGTTGAATATAAAAGACTATCATTGGAAGCTCGTCAATATGACAACCGTTATTCAACAATAGATCCTACGCGTAAAAGGCAATTAGCATCTTGCATAAAAAGTATTATGAATAAATTGCGTAAAGAAACATTTCATACATTAACAAATGAATTATTCGAGTTTTTAAATGGACAAGAAAAACAAGTCAGTAATCAAATAATTTGTATATCAAATGAAGACGGTAATTATTTTCTAAATGTTTTTATCATATTTTTAAAAATAAATTTCTCTATATAGAACGTTTATTATGTTTATCAATGCTTGCGACACTTATTCTTGCACAATTACTTGGCGGTGATCTAAATGATATAAAAACCGAAATCTTTTTACCATTAATTGGTATTCTTAGTCAAAATCCGCGACATCCAGAATTTCGTATTATTTTTCTTGATCGTCTACATAAAAAATGTCCATATACAGTACCATTCTATCCAAAACGACAACCAACTATGAATGATAAACAATATTTAGAGTAAATATATTAAATAAGTTAACATATTTAAAAAACAAATTTTTTTTTCTGTTTTTTTGAAGAACAATAGGTTATATTGAAAGACAAGATGGTGATCAACGTCGTTTGGAAACTGAAACTGAATTTCTTACTCGAATGAATGGACTTATTCGATTATTTTGTAAATTACTTGTTAGTCGTGGTCCACCATTTGATAAAGATTTAGCATTTGCATGGAGATGGTTTTCTGATGTTTTAAATTTACCACCAAAACCAAATATAACATCAGTTTTAATACGTGTTTTTCTTGATGAAGCTGGTGAAATCATGATGAATGTATATCGAATGCAATTTCCAAAAATAATTAACGCTATTCGAAGGGAGTATTTACCACGATTAGAAAAAGAAACAAGTGATGATCAAATAACAAGACTTACTTTAACATTAGATAGATTTACAAAATAAATCATTATGAACTTTATACTTTGTATATTGTTAGTCTGATATAAAGATCAATAAATAAAAAATTTTCTACTTTAAACAAGAATTAAAAATTATATATTTAAAATTGAGAACAATAAAATAACATCTGTTATTGATGAAATAGACATCTACTAGAGAACAAAATGACATTTATTGAGATAAACGTTTGACAGGAAGAATAAATACAAGTAATAAAGATATGTTATCGTGCATTGAATTTCGGAAGTATATGGTGGTGAAAGTTTCCAACTATAAAAATGTGTTATTATCTAGTAGTTTCATTCATACTTCTCGTTTTCATCATGTCAGTAGTGCCGTATTGTTTTGCTGCTGTGGTTTCTAGCACAGTACGCATTATTGAAAGATATCTTTCAACTTCTCAAGATGCAGAACGTTTCTTAAAACATGAAATCAATTTCAAAGAAGCTACGGATGACATTGTTAAAAATATACATATTTATGTAGGGTTTATTTATAAATCATGTCGATTAATGTGGAACGTCAGGTAAAAAAAATCTTGTTCTTAACCAACTTGATGTGTCTGCATTGCATTTGAGATTTGTGTATAAATAGTTAAGATTTGATGAATAGAGAATATCATTGATTATGTCTTAGGGACTATTCTCAAACAGAAAGACAATAAAGCATACATATGTTACTTAATGCAAGAGAGAATCACAAGAAAATGAATTTATCTCGTTTTATTTTGATGCTATATAAGCCATAAGAGTAGTGAAATGTATTGTCTTCGTTTAGTCGTTTTAGTGTTTTTGATCTCTCGTTACGAGAATAAATGAAACAAAAGAAGAAAAGGGACTAATACAAATTATAAATCTAATAGTAACAAAATAACTATTCAAATGATCTATTAAGTTTATATTTTTCTATTGACTTTTTTCACTAGTTTGGTTTGACTCTACACACAGTAAAACCTCTCTATGTGAGCACCAGCGTCCTGCATAGATACCAATTTTGGCAAACAGACTCGGATAGCTCTATTCATTTAATATTTTATATAAAAAAGTATACTATTGAGTTTCTTGCATGACCAGCGAGACAAAAAACGAAAGTAAATCAAGTGATTCAGAATTCACTTGGTGCCTTTCTACTTTCAAAAATTCGATCAATGTCGCAAAAGATATATTTGCTGGTTGTTAATAAAGTTGAAATGGAGCGCAGTGTTAATACCAAATATCATTATTGTGGACACGTGCATAAATATTTTTTCCATTACAATAATACATATTCACTTTTTTTTTGATAATTCATTTTCTTTTTCCTGTATTCAGTTACTTCGTCATAAAGTTCATCATTATCTATTGATGAATTTTCATTAGAAACAAATTGTCTTAATAAAACAATATTGCTTTGTCACTTTTGTGGCCTACTTTCAAATGCAACAAATTGGTCAATCATGATCAAACGTGTTTTTACTGCTTTGGTTTTATATAAACAGTAATTTGAAAATGTAAAAATATTTCGAAACGTCGAGCTCTCACTCATTGCCTGGTTGGGTCTGAATATAAGATCATTTCCAAGATCCGAACTGACGTTCTTTTTTCATCTCCAGCATTTGGGCCGATTCCACAAGTTTTCATTCAGATCTAAACAATCATGAAACATACATGCATAATGAGATTGACTAACCGTTCTGTGTGTTGAGAAGAAAAAAAGCATTATTAGACACAAGGGGGAAACAGCGGAGACTTCACGACTGAAGTCTTGGAAGTCTTTCGAAGTCTTCTGACGTCTCTTGAAGTCTTATGGGTGTGGGTGTGTGTGTGTGTGTGTGTGGGTGGGTGTGTGTGGGTGTGGGTGTGGGTGTGGGTGTGGGTGTGGGTGTGGGTGTGGGTGTGGGTGTGGGTTTTCTCTTCGTATCTTCACCCACACCGACACCCACACTCACACCCACACCCACACCCCACCCACACCCACCCATTACTACACTGTAAAAAAAAAGCGCTGATTAATAAATCCTTGCCCTTGATTTTGATTTTTATAAACCCTTGAAAGGTTTATGCAACTGTCATCAACCTTTCAAGTGGTTTATGATCCGAATGGTTTTTTTTACTGCAGGGGTATTTAGATTTTCAGAGGGTACATAAAACTATTTTCAGGGTTTTATATCACAATATTTTATTCAAAGAGTTTATAAATAAACGGATATGGATAGAATAATCTACGAATGTTCTGGAAAGGTTTAGTATTCTGCGATCAGGGATATATTAGTATACGATAAAGAAAAAATGGTTTCTTATTTTATCGTTAACCGTAGATTATTCTGCACTTCCAGGATAAGAGTTTATTATATTACGTTGACGGGTATATTATCCTACGAGTGAGGGTGGATTAATATATGCTTTTGTAGGAAGCGTTTATGCAAATACATTGAAGAGCATATTACTAAACAATAATTCCTGAAAAGGTATATTATTCTACGTTTGCGGGCAGAAGAGTGCATATTTCTGTAGAAATCGTCTATGAAAATACGCTAAAGGGTACATTGCTGTAAGGTTTCATTCAAGACGGTATATTATTCTGTGATCAAGGATATATTAATGGCACATTTCCCTAGGAAAGGTTTATAATTATGCATGCAATACTACATTGTTATACGAAATTTCCCAGAAAAGTATATTATTCGACGATCAGGGGTAGACTAATGTGTACCTTTATAGAAATAATCTATTGTGAGATATCCATCGGCTCATTGGTATAGATCATCATCAGCAGGGCTTATCATTCTCCTGTAAGGAGTACATTAGTATATACCATAACAGTCGGTTGTTTGATAAACTATCTTCGCATTCGAATAGGATAGAATAAATTTTAAATAATATATAAGAAATTAGTTAATTTTTCGACGGTTTAAAATCCATTTTGCCAGATAAGAGTGATTTCGAAGCGCTTTTACGCTGAAATAAATGTAAGACGACGTTTTTCATTTTATGGAAAATCTGTTTTCACACTTTATTGACTTCTAACTCGTTATTTAAACTAAAAGTAATTCATTTTTTTCTGAAAGAGTTAAAAGTGCAATTTTCATGTCCCAAAGTTCGGCTAGTAAGGTTTATCTGATGGCACAAAAGAATCTATTGCAGCAACAGTGTATTAGATTAAGAAAACTTGATAATTACTATTTAATGACACGGGAGTCTACGCTTTCATCGTAACCATTTATTGATAAAGACGTCAAAGTAGTCTATTCCATGTTTTTAATAAAAGATCTAAATAGTAAGATAACTTATTTTACATCCGCTGCCTAGCATAATTACTCAACAATTTTTCACGACTTGTACTGTTATAAATAAATATGACATTGACGATTTTAAATATCTCAAATCGATATGTTGCTGTGTATCATGATAACCATTAAGTAGATAGGTAGTCATCAGTCAACATAGAGTTCGGTAGTTTTCGAATCACTCCATTATCTAATATACTGCTTTTTGATAATGAACAACAATTAATTTTATACTAATGTGGGTCATTATCTTCTTAGATTGATTAAAAATCTTTTAAGAGCATGCTTCAATGAGAATTCGAATTCTGAAAAAACAACAACTAAAATGTCGGAAAATTTCATTGGCTTTTCTCGACTTAGTTCGTGCACGTTGTCGTCGTGAAAAAAACTTCGAACAAATTTAATGAACTAAGGATTCCATTATTATTGATACCGCTTCATTGAAACTTCATTTCGAATATTTCCTCCTGGGAACCTCATCTTGTGATAAATGTTACTTTAGAGAATATGAAAAAAATAAGTTTACAAGAAGCATTGCTATAAATTATTCTTATTGTGCCTAATGAAACTCAACATTGATCTCATTCGGCTAAATCTTATTCTTCACGAAAATAATTATAACTTATGTATTCCATGTCAGCACTACCTCAGTCATCATTATATTATTAAATTATTAAGCTCCAATCAGTGAAATATTTTCTCTAATCTAAGAGTCACATAGAATTAAATACGAAGCAACTCAAATCGAATTCGAATAATTTTGTTCTTCAAAATCAACCGGAGGTGTCGTTTAGTTCTTCTTATTCTCTATGTACATTTTTTATTTTAAAGTTGCCAATGCACTACTAGAGATTCGAATTCTTAATTGCTAGATTTAAAAGAGGAACTTACTGCTAATAAAAATACGTAGTTTACCTGTTGTTTCGTAATTTATTTTTGGTAAACCAGTTTCCATCTTGAGTTCATATATCGGTAATGGAATAGAAAAAAAAAATTGTTATCATTATAATAATTGTCCAATTTGAGTTCCAACAATACCAAAAAATATACCATCAACTAAAGTATCAATACCAGGTACAATACTGCATATAGTTACTGTTGTTGATGTGCCGATACAATAATCATCTTCGATAATTGATTATACCATTGTTGTAACATCGATAGTAGCTGATAGGGATAAAATTCCAATCCTCAATTTATTACTTGATGAATATTGAAGAAATTCATTTTTAATCATTGAATCATTCAGATCACGAATTTCAATAGATTTTATTTTTTCATAAGTAATGTTAACATCGTTTTTAGGGTGTGGGTGTGGATGTTTTCTTTACTTACAGTCACATCCCTCAAGATAGTGAATGCATATATTTGCAAGTATTAGAGTTATGTATGATCTCACATAACTTATTGAAAAACTTAAAGATTTGTACTTACACGCTTGCATTCCCAACCTGTATTTATAAGCAAAAACTACAAATATATTAAATATTTTGCAAGATTAGGCACACATGATTGCATGAATTAAAGATTACTCTATTCGTAAGCATATGTTAGAAAAATTCCTTACGAATATATCCAGTTTTTAAACTTTCGCTTTTGACTGCTATTGCTTTCATTCCAATTCTATTTTTAGACCTTCTAAAGATTTAGAAAGAGAACACTCTATTCCAATTTTTAAGCGTATCTATTGACTCTTATCTATTCAAAAAATGAAGAAAATTTCTCTCAGAAACTTTCGCGCCAGCTATTTATCAAAACTTCTAATATTTGACGAAAATAGTCCTAAATTTCTTTTAAAAACATTTAAATGAATGATTATCAGTACTTCTGAAGACAGGTTTTAATGTTCCTTTATTGTATTTTAGAAAACTAAGGACATCATGATGCATTTAAAAGGTTGCGTCTTTTATCTTGAAGTAAAGCTTTGAATATTTGAAAAAGTTCGTTAAATTATGGTAGAATAAAAACTAAACACAAAAAATGAGTGTCTGAAATAATATGCTTATTATTCAATCCAAAAGAAATCTTTGCATTTTCAAATTGAAATAACTCTACTAGTAGGACTACATAACACTTTAACTTAAATCAGATGATGATTAAAATGGTGATTGCGACACGGAGTAAAAAATAAAATCTGAAATAACTCTCGAAATGATCATTTTTTCACGTTTTTTATTAATTATTGTTGATGCGAGTTTAGAATAAATCAAACTGCTGTAGTAGATAATTGAAAACGATAAGCATTACAAAAAAAACGAATTTCTTTTATATTAATTGATGATTTCAACAGTGTAAAAGAGAAGTTTTTCTTCATTAGCAGATAATGTTGTTTTACATTCAACTATTGTCCCATCTCGTATGCATCCACTATTAGATGTTAGTAATTGCACTGAACGACCTTGAATTATTTGTTTATATTCCATATTTATTGATCGATTATTCTTAAAATTTTTAAACAGGACAGTAACATTGTAAATCGATTGTATTCGTTGTTCAATTGTATTGGATGCTTGAAGAGTTTCATTGTATATACGCGATGAAACTAATGTAACAGTTTCGTTATAAAAAATATCTGGGTCTTGACCAATTGAAAATTCATGTGTATTTTTAGAAGCTATATCTGGTAAAAATGTTTCACCAACCAAATAATTATATTCACGTATCATACAATTTCCACGAGGAAGAAAAACATCAGATGACAAACGATATGTACGTTCACCTTTACCAATCGATTTTCTAACGCCATAAAAATACGTTTTATAAATACGTACAAAACGTGTCACGTTCACTTGTGGACGAAACATTGGTAAAAGAAAATTTGTTTTTGAATCAATAGAAAATGGTTGATTAATAGTGTAGACATATAGACCAGCAACCTCCTGGCCCTGTGCCATTGTTGATGGATGTTGCGACCCGTACCCTACAATTGAAGTGCGATAAAAGTCATTTTGTATCCAAGAGCTTGGTTGTTCAGACATTTGTAAATTAATATCACCAGCTAAAAGTTCAGCGTATTCGATATCAATGCTTGCTTTTCCATCATTTCGAATATCAGCCATTGCAATCAATATTGGTTCTTTTGATTCATCAAATAGATATAATTGATAGCGCGTTTTCCATTTAAGATTTGAACAAAGATAACTAACATATACCGTATCTGTTGTATAGTATGTGAAATTAACATAGTATTTTGATTGAGGTGGTTCGTTAATGTAAAGTATTTGATCAGATGACACAGTAAAAAAGATTGGTTCTTGACTAATATTATTATCAATAAGTTTAACAAGATTTCTGTTTTCATCAATCATTGTTGCTTGGAGAAATTTCGTTTCTGTTTGTGAAGATAATGGTGAACGAACATAGATAATTTGATTGTTAAGTGAATTTTTCTTTTCAGTAATTGTTTGTTGCATTACATTGACATTTGACCCAATAAGAGTCAATGAATCAGAACGAATATTAGACCAATCTTCAACAGAAAATTCCAGTGGTAACTCATGAAGTGGTTGAATAATTTCAGCAAGATCAGAATAAATTTTCGCTTTTGCCAGTATTTGTTGATCATTAGTAGTTCGTGTTGAAGGATTTTTTTCATGCACTATAGTGTTTGTATCGGATATTAACAAAATTAATAGAAGCAGGAGCAGAAGAAGTTTCATACTGAAATAAAAGATGATTATATATGATGAATATCTTTTTATATTGAAAAACCCATGAGATAGAATGAGTTGTTTCGAGTTTTTCCATGGGAAGATTTTTCATCTTCTTCAGTTCCTTTAGAAATTTTGTTTTGAATGTTAATGCCTAGAGAAACTTTACTTGAGTCAAGAAAAATGTTCACGAGTTCAACAATAATCGACTGCGAGATAGTAGAGTTGCTGTAAGTTTATTGGAGAAATAAGTCAACATATTGATTTCCTACTTCAACAATAAGTTTTACAATCTCCAATCATCTTAAATGACAGAAAAGGGTGCAAAATCAAGTCGTTTCCTTTCTCTTTAATCCAAAGCAAAATTCACAAGTACATTAATATAAAATCAATGCGAAAAAGAATCACTTTATTTCATTTTCAGATAAGAGTGACACAATAACCCTCAAAATTCAATGAGAAACACGAACATGATTGAATTTGGGATGCTGATCAAGAAATCATGCAAATATTACAATCGATCGAAAGTTATCGAAATTTACTGCCTGCTTGTATTGGAATGTCTAACAGCGAAAATCTATCTGATGGATTAAGTCAAAATGACCTCAAATTTAGCTTTGTAATGGAATGAGAAGCACCGTTCGAATATTTTTTATTATGATGAAATGAAAATCGACAATAAACTCCAACCCTAACGCGCTAGCGCTCATTAAAGTAAGCCTTTTACTGACTGAGAACAGTGGGAAAGTATTGATTCGTTTATTCAGTGCCCTTCTCTAGGAGCTGCCAAACAATGAAACAAAACAACACATGTTTCGTGGAAGTTTAGGTGACTTTGGATAAGTGAACGCTATAGCAAGGGACAACATGAGACTTGTTCTGTAGATCTTTTACCTCACAGTCTAGAAGCCTGTTAGACTTCGAATCCGTGTTAAAAATTATAAGGTTGAAGAAGAGGTTGCATTATTATGAATTTTTTTTTCGTACAAAAATACTCGTGTGCTAGCATTCTTTGGCAGATCATACTGATAAACTGAGTTGATCAGGAGGCTCAGAAATCTATTAGTAGCGACACAGAGCGCATTGTGTATTGCCAGAGAACAAAGACTCACAACAATAAAAATACTTCTTACAAAAAGTGACCCAAAAAAAACTTTCGCAAAACTAAAAAACAATGATCTTCGTGGCCATATCAGTTTGCGATGAAAAATGTCATGATTTAAAATTACAAAATATATTATTTCACATAAAATTTTTTACCCGTTTTTCCGAACTATTACGGTTAATTTAGGTATATTACTGCTTTTATCTTCATCGTTCTTTTCAAGATGTAAGAATTTTGACCCAAAACGTTAAGTTAACAAAGATTTAAGCACTAGACGACATCATTGTGAATTCTTATGCAGTTAAAACCTTGTAGTCTTTGTAGATAATTAACACCTTTCTTCCTTTTTCAAGCTGTGCTAATGACGTATGTATAATACTATTGGCTGCTACGAAGAGTAAATATGTTCATTAAACATATTCATTTAGTTATCTTCTTGTTTATACGTATGTCCTTATTTTGAATAGAGTAGATCTATATGACATTCGGCATATCATAATCCCAGCGCTAAACTTTTTTTCTACGAGTAGATTTAGTGTGTGTTGAAATATTGTCTGCTATCTTCTATTGTAACAGGAACTTCTTTGTCTTTTCTCGGTCATCGTCACTTTTGGCAATAGAAGATGACTTTACAGTGTTTTGCAATAGGTTTCTTCTCGATCTAATGCTTGTCGCGCTACATTATATCGATATTCTCTTATATATTTTGATGATAAAGATAGCAATTAAATAGACGATTCATTAATTTAAAGAACTCTGTATATTTATACAGATGTTACAAATAAGCAAGCAATATGAGAATACAAAGGACACTTACTTTCAGAATCTTGTAGAATTCACTTTTATAATCTTTTCAATTTTGTGTAAGTGTATGCTGTCCTTTTTCTTGTATATATATATAGCCCTTATGTACATCAATATTTAAAAAAGGAGGTGATATCAATTACGCATATTGAATATTATAAAGCAACAATAATAATAATGCATGACATTATTTAAATATTGACTGACTTTCTTCATGAGTGCTATTTTTAATACTTTTGCTTGATTCAAACACAGATATATATATATATATCCGTGGACAGATGAATCAACTTATATAAAATACTTCAATTACTTTGCTTTTGCGTCTTTCTGTGTAAAGGTTATACAGTGTTTGGCGTATGTAAAATGATCATGTTACAATGTGAATGTATCTACGCATGTCAATTTACGGTTACTTTCGATATAATTTCCTTATAAATTAAATAAAGATGGATTTTAATTCTAAATTATTTTACTTCTTTATAGTACTTAATGGAGGAAATACGTTCTATTTTGAACATTACATTTATCTATATAGTTTCTTCACCGACAGCGGCAGATTTAGAGAGAGAGAGAGAGAGAGAGAGATGAAGGCAGTCGACTCCACTCCCAAAATTGCACTTTCGAACGGTGAACACCGCAAATCGATATCGGTACACCCTACATTGATCAAACTGTAAAAATATTGAAAATAAAGAATTAAAATGTGAGTGCATGAGAACGGATGAGAGCGAAGGAACTTCTTCTTTCATATACTATTACCTTCAGCACCTGTACCTTTCGGTATTTTCATAGTTGCCGTTTTCGATGTTTTTATTTTAGACCAAAGTTGGATAAACCGTCAATATGTTGTACTCAGCAGAAGTTATTCAAAGAAATGTCTTACACGTATCACAAAGATAATGTTAAAACTTATAGCCGGCAAATAGCTGAAATAACACATACTAATCCAATAGTGATACTTTTAGTTGTAAGTAATTTTGAAATTTATTTTTTACTTAAATTAATTTCTAATTTTATATCGATTATAAATGATGCATCAACATCATTACCGTCATGCATTGATGGAAAAATGAGTCGTGAAAATGCAACACCAGCACAATGGTTTCAAAATTCGTGTTTTATCAGCTAATGCATTTGAAAAATATCCTATGGATTTTACATCTGTTCTTTATTATCTAAATGATCAACTACGTGTTGTAAAAACATATGATCTATATCTATTACATGAAATAATAGCCAAAGTGAGTGGTGTTGAAGTATCATCCACAGTTACCTCTGGTGATCAATTATTATGTAGTGAAGTCGGACAATTTACAGGGACGCGAAATTTTTTCTTTTAATAAAAATTATTTTCTCTATGTCAAGATACAATGGGACATTTTTTTACATTTTTATCAAATGTATTGACAACAAAAAACTTTCATCATAAATTTCGTTCAATTGTTGATCTTGTACTTGGTTTTCATTCACAAGTTGATGCAATTTTTCAAATATCTCAACCATTATTTAATCTTAATATTCAAGTAAATAATTATATTTATATTGAAAATATGTTAAATTTATTTTAATTAGACAAAGTTTGATGAACTTCAATCAGCAACATCAAAATCATCAAATGAGAGTGCATTAGTAAATATAAGATTTTCTTTCCTATGATGAAAAACATTTCGGCTTCTAAAAAACTCTAGATACAAAATTATATTGATGCAATAGCGTTTGTTGTCACCTGTACTTGATTTCGTTAAAACTCTTCATCCGCAACGAATATGGAAGGGAATGACGTACGTCAACACTTTGGTTCTTTTTTTTCTTGCTATAATTATCTATAAAATTTCATTAGATCAATATTTAATTTAACATTTTGGTCGCTATCAATGTGTGATTTACAAGTACCAGAAGTTGCATATAAGCGACTTATTGAAGAACTTGAACATGAAACGATACGAATCGATGAACGATAAGAATGAGCTTGTTTAAAGGGTGTGGGTGTGGGGTGTGGGTGTTGATGGGGTGGGTGTGGGTGCGGATACGGGTGTGGGTGGGTGTAGTAGTGGGTGTGGGTGTGGGAGTGGGTGTGGGTGTGGGTATATGGTTGTGGCTGTGGGTATGGCTGTGGCTGTGGCTGTGAGTGTGGGTGGATGTGGATGGAGACAACATCTATAATGACACCGACACCCACAACCCACCCACACCCACACCCACACCCACCCACCATAATCAATCAAAACTTACTCGTTTTTATAATGAATGTTTAACAAATATTGAAAAATCTTTTCCATATAATTCGGAAAACATTTTTAGTACCAGAATCAATCGTTGGCTAAATCATCAATTCGATGTTCATTTATTGGACCAAGGAGCTTTATCTTGGTATTTATTGGGAACCACAGCTCATCTTTGTTCAGGAGTATTTGTGCATAGAAACAACAGAGAACCAATTCCAAATAATTTATACTCATTTCTTGTCTGTGGATCAGGTCAGTTGCTCTTATCACATATTCATTGATATGTTTATTTGATTGTGACTAGCGTTTGGCAAAAGCGCCTTTTATCGACGTTTTTTCGATGCAATCTCAAGTTGTCCAATTTATAATGAGAGTAATATGGATAAAATTATATCAAATACCAAAGAACCACAAATGAATGTCACTGAAACATGCCATTTTCTTGATGAGGTAAATCATATTCTGTTATTCTGTGTATGATATGATTATCAATTATTATCTTTACTGACCGACCTAACTTATCAAAATTTTTGATTTGATGCAACACATGCTATGTTAGTTAATCACTTTGAAAAATATATTTTGAGTTCATTAAATACGCTTTTATTTAGTGTTCTAACACTCTATTCCTGTTCTGCATTATCATGATTAATGATATTTTATAATATAATATTGTCAAATCTTTTTTGACTGTCAGTTCATAATCTATTATTGATATTTATGGTAGTATTAGCTTTTCCTTTCATTTATCAAATCGATTGCACTTAGATGAATTAATTAACTATAAATAGGAGGAACCTTCATCTATCGAGTATGAGAGAACGAAAAAGACTCACACTGTCCCTAATTGTTTCTTTTCATGAGATGGAAATCTTAGCTCATCCAAACGTGTTAAAATTAACTAATTTACCATGTTACATACGTTTCGTCGAATTTATCTTTTTCTATTACATATACTTAATATCCATACATCCATTTTAACTAAATTTTTTATTTAATCCCGACCATTGTTTACTTTCGCTTTGTTTTGTGCTAAATGACTTCTCTTTATCCGCTACACATGGATAAATTGTTGATTTAGAAGAAGTAGACAAATAAATGTTAACAATCATGAATAAATTATCCCACGTAATATCATCTGAAAACTATAAAAATGTCTTTTTATTAGAGCAATAAAATAACTTTGAGACTCATTTCATGATCATCTAAGTCTTTAAATATTGAATAAACGTCTCATGGTGGTCTTTTAACTTTTATATATGACTTGTTCCAGGTGATACTTTTTCTGTTTCTTTCCCACATATTTAGATATATTAATTTTACAATTATGGAAACTCAATAACTCTTATAGGCTAAAAAAGAATCATAGTTTAGATGAGATTTTGATTTCCTAGGTTATGTCTGAAGTAACGCTACTTTATTATTATAGATGTCCCGAGGTGGACTGCTTAAACAGTTAAATCAAAACGACAAGATGGCTCTGCTTGATGAGGCAGATGCCTGTTTAAAACGGAATGGATTAATTCCAGATGGTCCGATTAGCGAACACAATAATATCTACGAAATAGTTCTTACATTATATTCTGGAAGAGCTACTGTGACAAAAAGTTTGACGAATTCAACATCGAATCTTCAGTTGAAAAAGCTCACCATTTTGGCTAATACAACAGAAGAGCCAATATTACGATTATTAAAGAAGAAATTGTCGGGAGATGCACCAAATCAATTTGCTGAACGATCACTTTTTCTTTTTATTACTACTCCACTTACTCTTGAAAAACCATTTCCACCATTATGGAACTTCGATCAAGAACCTACAATAAATCAAGTGGCTTTTACAGCGAGTCAATTGAATAATCTTGATTTTTATTATGAAACAACTGCACGTCTAATGACTATTGCATATGGCAATTTATTGTGCAAACTAAGTAAGTGGTCCAGATATACATTTTCTTTTCTCGAAGACACAAGTCAAGAACATCATATCAATGCATACGCTTAATATTTAAGCAAAAAATGTAAAAATATATTTCTCTCTAATTAAAAAGAAATTACTCATAAATATTAATTTAATATGAACGAACAGTCAATTTAAAAAAATTAGCCATCTTCTAAAAAAAAATGGATGTTATTTTTTCCTTTAATAAAAATCAAGTGAAATATACGGTCTTTTGAAAAAACGATATGTTTAGATTTATTAAAGATAACTGTTTTCGTTTCCCTGAAATTTAATTAAAAATTTTCATTTATGTTCTTTTTTCACAAACCTACACACGGATTAATAAAGTTCCATGCTAAAGTGAGTGAAATAATTGTTTTTAAGAAATCGGCGAAAAAACACTGCTTGTATTACGTTTTCTTTTAGGTTGTTTCAGTAACTCACAACTACTCATATTTTTATTTCCTCTTTTTTAGTGATTAAAAATGGAAAGGTCGATAAATGGCTCACAGCTCGACTGGGTAAATCACGTGAGCATCTACATAGATTAGCTGTAAATCTTCAATTAGTTCAGTTAACATTTGATCTTATCGACAAATACAAAAATGATTTTGGTGATCTAAATCGTGGATTAAATGATTCGATATTTCAACAACGAATGAAATCAATAGTTAATCAATTTCTTGGCCGAACTGATGATCAAGCCAGAATTAAACTTGAAATTCGATTATCTATTTCAAATTCTGCTGTAAAATTGCTAAATCTACTACTTCGTCAATACATATGTATTTTTGGAGACGAAAATATCTATTTGTACGTATCTGACTCTAGTTCTTTAATTTGATCAAAATAATCATGGCACAAGAACTATAAAACAGCCATAGTCACGATCCTACTTTGAATAGAAGTTGCTTGTTCATCATATAGCACTTGTAAATGGATGTTGGCTTCTAGCGTACTCTTTCTTTCGGGATTTGGAGAATATTGGTGATGGAATGGTTAATTTCATATTCCTTTCACAGTACACGATAAAAAGAAATCGTTTATTTTCATGGGAAAATTATTGAAAGTGAAACATACCTTTTCGTCAGTATTTCAGTTTGTAGGTTAAATTATTAATATAATGTGGACTATTTCAGATGTAGGTTTTTATGCTTATTATATGACCAAATTGAACAGTTTTCGATTTCCTAATATACTTCTTTGAATGCAGTAAATAACTGCGCTTTCTTCACAATAGAACGATTTCCTCAAGGTTTTCCTGAGTGTACAACATGAAGGTGATAAAGTCTCTGAACTTATATATTTGAAACATTGTCACCGTTGCAGATGTTATATGAAAAAAAATATTGTAATATGTTAGATCCTTGAAAAATCAAAAAGTATCGAATCAATATCCCTTCTCACCTGCTATCAAATCTTGCAGAACTAGATGTGTTCTACCCTTATTTAACTGATTAGTTGATTCAGTCCTACTATCAAGATTTGATTATTAGTGACTGATTAATAAGAAATTAACTGGATTTCAGTTTACTTGTTTTTTTTTCGGTTAGAAGCATAGATGATTCTCAAATGATTGAAACTGATCAAAACAAATTGGATCCATCAGCAGATTTAATCGTAAATACAACAGCATCACCAACAACTAATTATAATCATAAATTAGCATCACATGAAAAGTTGGCTAAAGAATTAGCACGATCAATACTACTATGCGATGAAATTGCTTTTACAAAAACTAAACTTAGTCATTGTGTTCCTTTATGGAAGAGAAAAACAGATATTCATGAAGCAGCTATTGCACTTTTATTAAAGAAACGACTCATTAAACAATATGAAAAAGCGGCAACACAAACTACAACTCGTC